GATTGTTTTAAAAGGAAAGATTTCCAAGACGTCTCTTTCTACTCCAGCAACAGGCAGGGAGGGGGAGTGGAGGGGGGAGAATCCATTCTGCACCAAAGAGGAAAGCAGAAAATTAATTTCTCCTGCCCTTGATACAAACTAAATTCAAAGCAGGCAGCTGGCAGGAGTGAATAGAGAGAGAAGAGAGAAAGGGGGAAAAAAAATAAATTAAAAAATAAAAAAGGAGAGAAAGGGAGAAAAGCAAACAAGTGCATCATAAAAGCTGCAAACCGCCTGGAAATTTCATTTGGCTTTTCAATTGGGGAGCGACACGATGCCTGCCTGGGAGGGGGCAATCACAGCGGGGAGAGGCTGAAAACAGCCCAGCTCCCCCTGCCTCGCGGGGCTCTGCCAGCCCTGGGGGGCAGCAGGCAGCTCTGCGAAGATGGGGAGGGCATGGAGCCACCCCAGCCTCATCCCACCCGCCTGGGATGTGGAAGCAAAGCCCGAAACACCAACGGGGAAGTGCTAATTAGTGTTAGCTGGAGTACCACACAGGTGTTCACTGAACTGGCCCTGGGTGGTGCCAAACCATTAGCAGGAGCCTGGGGGGTAGAGGATCCAGAGCAGGGAAGCTCAGAGGGCTTGGGCTCATCTGAAGAGCAGATGACACACCAGTTGCTTCCCAGTACATCTGTGGCCTGGATCTGTCCTGGGGGTTCACATCCAATCTTTTCCACGTCCTTTACAGCACCGATGCGCATGCCTGTGTAAATACACACACCCTGGTCTCACAGAAATGCACACATTTACCTACAGCCATCCAAACCCCACCCAGTGAACTGGCTGTGCTCCACCAGCACAGATGCACGATGAACTTAAAACTAAAACCCCATAACTGTCCTAAAAAAATACATTTATGGCACAGATGCCATGGTTCATGATGCGTTTTTCAGTCAGCTGGTTTCCCCTAGGAAAGGTTCTGTACAGAAGAGACCCCTCAGAGGATGGGGACATCATCGAGAGGCCCAGTTCCCAACACAAAGCTTTAGGAAGATGGTGGAGAAGCAGGGAGCGGGGGATTAAACCATCACAGACAGGGAAGGGCAGGGCTGGCACCTTGCTGGTTCCGTGCCCCAGACTCGCCAAGGTTGGGTAAAACCCACAGCAACTCGAAAACCTCCTGGAAACCTCTTCCACGCCTTCCCCCTGCTCTTTGCAGGGCCTTCCTGGAGCTCAGCACCCATGGCGGCACCCACCTGGCCTGAGGCAGGCGAAACCCGGCCTCACAGTGACATCTAGTGAGGTGGAGCCATCACGGCACCACCGGCCTGCTCTGCAAATGGCAGCCTGGCCTCTCGCCCTGCCCTCCTCACCCCACTTTTTTGCCCCTCAGACAGCAGAGGATGGAGGCAGAGCAGGAGATGTGGTGCTGGAGGAGAGGGCAGCCCGGCCCAGGGGGTTCGGTGTGGTGAGATGAAGGGTGCCTGATACCCAGCGCTTCTGGGATTGCCCCTACATCCCAAAAGTAGGGGGCTCCAAGCACATGTTGGGGGGTTTTCAGTGTTTTAGGAGGATAGGGGTGCCCTTCTCCACCCCACTGGTCAGTAACGCAGTGGAGAAGAGCTGGATGGGATGGGAGGGAAAGGAGTGAGAGAAAGGAGGAGAGGGGAGACCCAGCCTTGTAATTTAGGT